TTTTGTCGAAACCAAATTTTACCCGGCGAAACTATAGGGCAATTTTTTTTATCAAATTGAACCATTTTATAACTTAAAATTCTAACAAAGTGCGATTCTGTTTAACAACACAACATGCTCGCCACACGATCAACAATGCACAGGAGACCGCAGTGCGTCGAGAAATTCACATGCCAGGGACTGCCTTTCTAGATTATTCTGTTTGGCTCACAGATTCACTGACTTGATAGTAGACAGTGGATGCCGGAAGTCGATTTATCTATGTATGGGTCTTACTTAGAAGCTGCTGGCTTAAGAACCAAAAAACTTGACACTACTACTGTTTAAGGACCAAGCGCGTCGTACTCACGAAGCAGACTCAGTCGCATTTCATAGCGTACGGTGAAAAAGCATAGTACCATAGATGCGCAGTAATCATCATCGTTATCACACTTGAAGACCCTTTGTATAAAAGTTGAACGCGTTTCCCAATACACCGAATGGCAGTACCGTGAAGTGGCAAGCTGTACAGTGGTAGACAGCAGTAGCACTGCTCCAACAAACATTTTCTATCTGAAAATTCCTGCGTATTTGCATACGGAAAAGATCCAAAACGGTGAAATGGAAGCACAAGCACCGTAAGGACATTGTCTTACTGCATTCGTAGAAAATTTCCATGTGAAAAAGTGTTTTCCGCTGGAAACGCGAGAAAAAAAATCGGGTTTCAGGAAGAGGTTGATCACTTACTAATCGCATTTTTTTATAAAGCTACCAATTGAGAAATGCATAAAATACAGCATTCATACTCGTCTGCTATTTAGCAGTTTTAGAAAGGCTTTTGATTCAGCTGTAATGAATGAGATAAGAGAAGCTGATAATTACAAAACAAAACAGTTTGGGAAAAAACTGAAGAATGATACAGAAAACTTCTGCAGATCAGGCGACTGCACCACTGGATATCCGAATCACCTCCTCAATACAGTCACAGATAAAATTACACTTTTCATCAATCCCACAAAGACAGGAAACTGAAACAAACCAACATTCGCCCCCCAACAAAAC